GTGTTGTAGATGACGTGATACGCGAGCAGACAGACAGGCAGGCAGGCAGGGCAGCAGACAGGCAGGCATGGTAGCAGACAGGTAAACATGGTAGCAGACAGACAGGCAGGGTAGCAGACAGACAGGCATGGTAGCAGACAGACAGGCATGGTAGCAGACAGACAGGCAGGGTAGCAGACAGACAGGCAGGGTAGCAGACAGACAGGCATGGTAGCAGACAGACAGGCAGGGTAGCAGACAGACAGGCAGGGTAGCAGACAGACATGGTAGCAGACAGAAGACATGGTAGCAGACAGACAGGCATGGTAGCAGACAGGCAGCATGGTAGCAGACAGGCAGGGTAGCAGACAGACAGGCATGGTAGCAGACAGGCAGGCAGCATGAGCAGCAGACAGACAGTGTATGGTAGCAGACAGACAGGCATGTGGTAGCAGACAGACAGGCATGGTATCAGACAGGCAGGCATGGTAGCAGACCGGCAGGCATGGTAGCAGACAGGCAGGCATGGTGGCAGACAGGCAGGCATGGTAGCAGACAGGCAGGCATGGTGGCAGACAGGCAGGCATGGTGGCAGACATACAGGCATTGTAGCAGACAGACAGGTATGGTAGCAGACAGACAGGCATGGTAGCAGACAGGCAGGCATGGTAGCAGACAGGCAGCATGGTATCAGACAGGCAGGCATGGTGGCAGACAGGCAGGCATGCTAGCAGACAGACAGGCATGCTAGCAACAGACAGGCATGCTAGCAGACAGGCAGGCATGGTGGCAGACAGGCAGGCATGGTGGCAGACAGGCATGCATGGTGGCAGACAGGCAGGCATGGTGGCAGACTGGCAGGCATGGTGGCAGACAGGCAGGCATGATAGCAGACAGACAGGTATGGTAGCAGACAGACAGGCATGGTAGCAGACAGGCAGGCATGGTAGCAGACAGGCAGGCATGGTAGCAGACAGGCAGGCATGGTAGCAGACAGGCATGGTAGCAGACAGACAGTCAGACAGACAGGCATGGTAGCAGACAGGCAGGCATGGTAGCAGACAGACAGGCATGGTAGCAGACAGGCATGGCATGGTAGCAGACAGACAGGCATGGTATCAGACAGACAGGCATGGTAGCAGACAGACAGGCAGGGTAGCAGACAGGCAGGCAGGGTAGCAGACAGGCAGGCATGGTGGCAGACAGACAGGCATGGTAGCAGACAGGCAGGCATGGTAGCAGACAGGCAGCATAGTAGCAGACAGGCAGGCAGGGTAGCAGACAGGCAGGCATGGTGGCAGACAGACAGGCATGGTAGCAGACAGGCAGGCATGGTAGCAGACAGGCAGGCATGGTAGCAGACAGACAGGCAGGGTAGCAGACAGACAGGCATGGTAGCAGACAGACAGGCAGGGTAGCAGACAGACAGGCAGGGTGGCAGACAGACAGGCATGGAGCAGACAGACAGGCATGGTAGCAGACAGACAGGCAGGGTAGCAGACAGACAGGGCAGACAGACAGGCAGTAGCAGACAGGCAGGGTAGCAGACAGACAGCATGGTAGCAGACAGGCATGGTAGCAGACAGACAGGCATGGTAGCAGCAGAGCATGGACAGGCAGACAGGTAGCAGACAGACAGGCATGGTAGCAGACAGACAGGCATGGTAGCAGACAGACAGGCATGGGAGCAGACAGACAGGCATGGTAGCAGACAGACAGGCAGCAGGTAGCAGACAGACAGGCAGGGTAGCAGACAGACAGGCATGGTAGCAGACAGACAGGCATGAGAGCAGACAGACAGGCATGGTAGCAGACAGACAGGCATGAGAGCAGACAGACAGGCATGGTAGCAGACAGACAGGCAGGGTAGCAGACAGACAGACATGGGAGCAGACAGACAGGCATGGTAGCAGACAGAGAAGCATGGTAGCAGACAGACAGGCATGGTAGCAGACAGACAGGCATGGTAGCAGACAGACAGGCATGGTAGCAGACAGACAGGCATGGTAGCAGACAGACAGGCATGGTAGCAGACAGACAGGCATGGTAGCAGACAGACAGGCATGGTAGCAGACAGACAGGCATGGTAGCAGACAGACAGGCATGGTAGCAGACAGAGAAGCATGGTAGCAGACAGAGAAGCATGGTAGCAGACAGCAGACAAGCATGGTAGCAGACAGACAGGCATGGTAGCAGACAGACAGGCATGGTAGCAGACAGACAGGCATGGTAGCAGACAGACAGGCATGGTAGCAGACAGACAGGCATGGTAGCAGACAGACAGGCATGGTAGCAGACAGACAGGCATGGTAGCAGACAGACAGGCATGGTAGCAGACAGAGAAGCATGGTAGCAGACAGACAGGCATGGTAGCAGACAGACAGACATGGCAGATCTTCTCTCAACTGAAGCCTCCGCCAGGGACTCAACTAGTGTAAACTAAGGAACGAGTTGCAGTCCTTATCTATGAGTTTACCTCAGAGACCTGAGGTAAAAGTGTGAGTTTACCTCAGAGACCTGAGGTAAAAGTGTGAGTTTACCTCAGAGACCTGAGGTAAAAGTGTGAGTTTACCTCAGAGACCTGAGGTAAAAGTGTGAGTTTACCTCGACACCTGTCAAAGGTAAATTAACATTGCCGCCACCACCAGGGGGGGGCCACCAGGGGGGCCTCGTAGCCTGGTGGATAGCGCGCAGGACTCGTAATTCTGTGGCGCGGGTTCGATTCCCGCACGAGGCAGAAACAAATGGGCAAAGTTTCTTTCACCCTGAATGCCCCTGTTACCTAGCAGTAAATAGGTACCTGGGAGTTAGTCAGCTGTCACGGGCTGCTTCCTGGGGGTGGAGGCCTGGTCGAGGACCGGGCCGCGAGGACACTAAAAGCCCCGAAATCATCTCAAGATAATCTCAAGATAACCACTACTCGAAGAGTCCCACCACTCGAATCCCGCCATGTATAGCCCCAGCTGTTGCCAGTGCCATCTGTTGCCAGTGCCAGCTGTTGCCAGTGCCAGCTGTTGCCAGTGCCATCTGTTGCCAGTGCCAGCTGTTGCCAGTGCCAGCTGTTGCCAGTGCCAGCTGTTGCCAGTGCCAGCTGTTGCCAGTGCCAGCTGTTGCCAGTGCCAGCTGCCGCCAGTGCCAGCTGCCGCCAGTGCCAGCTGCCGCCAGTGCCAGCTGCCGCCAGTGCCAGCTGTTGCCAGTGCCAGCTGTTGCCAGTGCCATCTGTCGCCAGTGCCAGCTGTTGCCAGTGCCAGCTGCCGCCAGTGCCAGCTGTTGCCAGTGCCAGCTGTTGCCAGTGCCAGCTGTCGCCAGTGCCAGCTGCCGCCAGTGCCAGCTGTCGCCAGTGCCAGCTCTTGCCAGTGCCAGCTCTTGCCAGTGTGTTTGCCTACTGCCAGTCTGCCTTACCTGTCTGTAATGGGTGGGGGTAGTATGGGTGGGGGGTGTCTGCCTTACTCACCTGTATGAGTGGGGGGCTGTCTTACTCACCTGTATGGGTGGGGTGTCTGCCTTACTCACCTGTATGGGTGGGGGGTGTCTGTCTTACTCACCTGTATGGGTGGGGGTGTCTGTCTACTCACCTGTATGGGTGGGGGTGTCTGCCTTACTCACCTGTATGGATGACGTGTTTGCCTTACTCACCTGTATGGGTGGGGGGTGTCTGCCTTACCTGTATGGGTGGGGGTGTCTGCCTTACTCACCTGTATGGGTGGGGGTGTCTGTCTTACCTCACCTGTATGGGTGGGGGGTGTCCTGTCTTACTCACCTGTATTGTGGGGGTGTCTGCCTTACTCACCTGTATGGGTGTGGGGCACCTTACTCACCTGTATGGGTGGGGGTGTCTGCCTTACTCACCTGTATGGGTGGGGTGTCTACCTTACTCACCTGTATGGGTGAGGGTGTCTGTCTTACTCACCTGTATGGGTGAGGGTGTCTGTCTTACTCACCTGTATGGGTGAGGGTGTCTGCCTTACTCACCTGTATGGGTGAGGGGTGTCTACCTTACTCACCTGTATGGGTGAGGGTGTCTGTCTTACTCACCTGTATGGGTGAGGGTGTCTGCCTTACTCACCTGTATGGGTGAGGGGTGTCTGCCTTACCTGTATGGGTGGGGGTGTCTGTCTTACTCACCTGTATGGGTGAGGGGTGTCTACCTTACTCACCTGTATGGGTGGGGGTGTCTGTCTTACTCACCTGTATGGGTGAGGGTGTCTGTCTTACTCACCTGTATGGGTGGGGGTGTCTGTCTTACTCACCTGTATGGGTGGGGGTGTCTGCCTTACCTGTATGGGTGAGGGTGTCTGCCTTACTCACCTGTATGGGTGAGGGGTGTCTGCCTTACTCACCTGTATGGGTGAGGGGTGTCTGCCTTACTCACCTGTATGGGTGAGGGTGTCTGCCTTACTCACCTTTATGAGTGAGGGTGTCTACCTTACTCACCTGTATGGGTGAGGAGTGTCTGCCTTACTCACCTTTATGAGTGAGGGTGTCTACCTTACTCACCTGTATGGGTGAGGAGTGTCTGCCTTACTCACCTGAACGCGTGTCTGGGTAAGAAACCGTAGCTTGCAGACATTGCAGAAGAGCAACACGCCTGATTGGCCCAGCTGTGTCAATCAGGGTCCGTGTCGTGAACGAGTATCCAATCAGCGATCAGATCACCTATGCAACTGGTTGAATGAGAGTATGAGTGAATGTTGCAAGGCCTTACTGCAAATACAACATCTTATTCAATTATTCAACGTCATCCTGCGTGTTGATCTGATTGGTCAGCCGGACTTGCTTACCTTCTGAGTGCCCGCGAAGGGTATGGGCGGAACTCAGAATAGATCGGATGGTGTATACGTGTTTATCTGTATGGTTTCATTACACCTCTTAGAGTGATTTTGTCGAGCTGTTGTGCCTGATTATGCCCCGAAAATGTGGACTGGATCGCCAGTGGCCCTTCGGACACCAGCGCTATTATGTATGCCTTGAGGGTAATTAGTTGTCATCCTTGTTAGGTTAGGTTAGATTAGATTAGGTTAGGTTAGGGTAGATTAGGTTAGATTATGTTAGGTTAGGTTAGGTTACATTAGGTTAGTTTAGGTTAGGTTAGATTAGATTAGGTTAAGTTAGATTAGGTTAAGTTAAATTAGGTTAAGTTAGATTAGATTAAGTTACATTAGGTTAGATTAGGTTAGGTTAGGTTAGGTTAAGTTAGATTAGGTTAGGTTAAGTTACATTAGGTTAGGTTAAGTTAGATTAGGTTAGGTTAGGTTAAGTTAGATTAGGTTAGGTTAGGTTAAGTTAGATTAGGTTAGGTTAAGTTAGATTAGGTTAGGTTAAGTTAGATTAGGTTTCGTCTACGAGTTAACTATCATTCCAGTCAACCATTCCAGGTCTTGCGAATGTAATAGGAGCTATGATGACACCAATCTAGGGCATGTCAAGCACCCATTATATTAGTGGTTAAGTTGTAAACTTATTGGTTAAGTTATCAATACACTACGGTAACTTAGTCTTCCCGTTGAACTACTTCTTAATGCTGCCTCTACCCACACTTAAGCCTTCTGCTTGTCTTCAACACCGAATTAAGGTTTGGTACACCAATGCTGATGGGGTATCTAACAAAGCAGAAGAGGTAAAAGAAAGAATTAGTGAGGCAGATCCTGATCTTCAATACCGAACGGCTTATTAATTACTAGTCAATAAATTATGTTAGGGACCCAAAGAATCCCTCAAAGTATTGTCTGTGCATTCTCACGATCCCAACAGCTTAGTGAAACATCTTCCATGTGCACATTGATCACATTGCATGCAATTGCACTTAGAGAAAAAGCAATATTACCACACAATCCATCTCATCTATCCTAACCTATCCTAACCTAACCTAACCTAACCTAACCTATCCTAACCTATCCTATCCTAACCTAACCTATCCTAACCTAACCTAACCTATCCTAACCTAACCTATCCTAACCTAACCTATCCTAACCTAACCTAACCTATCCTAACCTAACCTAACCTATCCTAACCTATCCTAACCTAACCTAACCTAACCCTACCTAGCCTAGTCTATCCTTAAGTAACAAAAGCCAATGGGGGAGAGAACGTCATTTTTACGGTACTCTTGACTCTTACTGAAACATCGCCTTTTTGACGGATTTGTCAATTCCGTATATTCCCATCTTAACAACCATTAACCCCCCTTTCCCATTTAAACCACCATTAACCCCTTCCCACCAGCACTACCACCACACTCCCACCACAATACCAACACACAACCACCACACTACCAACACAACCACCACACTCCCACCACAATACCAACACTACCACCACACTCCCACCACAATACCAACACTACCACCACACTCCCACCACAATACCAACACTACCACCACACAACCACCACAATACCAACACTACCACCACACTCCCACCACAATACCAACACTACCACCACACTCCCACCACAATACCAACACTACCACCACACAACCACCACCACACTACCACACTCCCACCACACAACCACCACCACACAACCACCACACAACCACCACCACACAACCACCACACAACCACCCACACAACCACCACCACCACCAACCACCACACAACCACCACCACACAACCACCACACACACCACCAACCACCACCAACACCACCACACAACCACCACACACACCACCACCACACAACCACCACCACACAACCACCACCACCCCACACCACCACCACACAACCACCACACACACCACCACCACACAACCACCACCACACAACCACCACCACACAACCACCACAACAACCACCACCACCACCAACCACCACACAACCACCACCACACACCACCACCACCACCACCACACCACCACCACCCACAACCACCACCACACACCACCACCACACAACCACCACCCACACAACAACCACCACCACACAACCACCACCACACAACCACCACCACACAACCACCACCACACACCACCACCACACAACCACCACCACACAACCACCACACAACCACCACACAACCACCACCACACAACCACCACCACACAACCACCACCACACAACCACCACCACAACAACCACCACCACCACACAACCACCACCACACACCACCACCACCACCACACCACCACCACACAACCACCACACACCACCACCACCACCACCACCACCACCACCACCACACCACCACCACACAACCACCACCACACAACCACCACACAACCACCACACAACCACCACCACACAACCACCACACAACCACCACCACACAACCACCACACACCACCACCACACACACCACCACACAACCACCACCACACACCACCACCACACAACCACCACCACCACACACCACCACACACACCACCACACAACCACCACACACCACCACCACACAACCACCACACACCACCACCCCACAACCACCACACAACCACCACACAACCACCACCACACCACCACCACACAACCACCACACACCACCACCACACAACCACCACACACCACCAGCACCACAACCACCACACACCACCAGCCCCACAACCACCACACACACCACCACCACACAACCACCACACAACCACCACCACACAACCACCACACAACCACCACCACACAACCACCACACAACAACCACCACACAACCACCACACAACCACCACACAACCACCACACAACCACCACCACAACCACCACCACACAACCACCACACAACCACCACCACACAACCACCACACAACCACCACACAACAACCACCACCACACAACCACCACACAACCACCACACAACAACCACCACACAACCACCACACAACCACCACACAACCACCACACAACCACCACCACACAACCACCACCACACAACCACCACACAACCACCACACAACCACCACACAACAACCACCACACAACAACCACCACACAACAACCACCACACAACAACCACCACACAACCACCACACAACCACCACACAACCACCACCACACAACCACCACACAACCACCACACAACCACCACACAACCACCACCACACTACCACCACACAACCACCACACCACCACCACCACCAACCACCACACAACAACCACCACACAACCACCACCACACAACCACCACACAACCACCACCACACAACCACCACCACACTACCACCACACAACCACCACACAACCACCACACAACCACCACCACACAACCACCACACAACCACCACACAACCACCACCACACAACCACCACACAACCACCACACAACCACCACCACACAACCACCACCACACAACCACCACACAACCACCACCACACAACCACCACACAACCACCACCACACTACCACCACACAACCACCACCACACTACCACCACACAACCACCACACAACCACCACACAACCACCACACAACCACCACCAC